AATAGATAACTTTTTGTGAAGAACTATTATCATTTATTGATACCTCCTTTTTTGTTTCGTTTCAATATAAGTTTCAGTTTGGGTTCGTGCTTCTAGATGATATAAAAAAATTCAAAAAGAAGTCATTCTTCTTGTTCAAAGCTTCAAAACATAGTGCAAATAATAATACAATATTTCTTAAATCACTAATATGTGAAAAATGCTATTGAACTATTTTATTGCTGAGGAGATAGAAAAAAAATGTATGAAAATCAAAATGCTAGATATCATAATATAGTATGAAAAAGCATCTTTTGTATTACTGTTGAACGTAGAATTGAATGAAAAGTTCATTCAATTTTATTCTTAATTTTAGAATGTAAAAAACAAATAATGTTCTACTTATAGATATTCTTTCTTAATAATTGACCTTATTTTGTTTCTATGTATACATAATGATTTCGTCAACATATAAATTTTGATGAAATTTCCACAATATCTAACGAAAACATGATCTATTTTATGGTGGCCAAAACAATGAAAAGTTTTTCAGTAGCCTATTGTATTATCATTGACCTAATGGTTATATACTGAATAACAATCAATGGAGAAATGTCGAAACGAGATGAAAGTGTCACCTATATTGATATTTTTTCATTCGACACTTTTCCATTGGATATTTGTTTTTTTGATATTTTTGCTTTTGCTTTCGACATCACTCACTGTAACCGTTATAATCATTTAAATTCAAGAAAAACAAGTCACTCAAAACAAAAAAGAAGAAAGAAGAAGACATTGGGCGATGCCTAACAAATTAAATACTAAAAAAGTACGGATGCAACTAACATAAGGGAAATTTCTCTGCATAATTTTTTCAATTGATCTTTTGATATGATTCTTAAGAATAACTTAAATTTTTCAAGTTAAATAATTATTGGGAACAATCTTTTATATACTTCAACATTTTCTTAGTGATGTAAATAACAAGCTGTCGTATTTTGATTAATTTATTTATGTAGACGGTATCAGATCATTATTATCACAATGATTTTCAACAATTTTTTGTACATTTTTGAACTACGCATTGGAATTACAAATGAATATCTTTTTTTTATTAGCATTAGATTTTTTCATCTTTTTATTGAAATCGATATTGAATGCTTTATGAAATTTTTTTACTTTTCTTCCTTGAAAACTTTTACTTTAAATTCAACATATGACTAGTTATTTCTCAAATGAATTGGTTTATTGTTCAAAAATATAACCATGTCAAAATTTTGTAACACTATCAAGTGATCAACGAAATTATTCACCAGAAGCTTTTCATGTTTTGAGAACTTCCTATTCTATTATTTTCCTTGTTCGAACTATAAAAGCAATATAACGCGTTTCTTTAGTTGATATTAATATTTAATTAAGATTTATTTCACAGAGACATCAATATGTTAAAAGAAGATTTCAGTTTCAATTCGAGCTTTCTATATATTAATTGTAGAGATTTTCTAGTAATTGATGATGGCAATGTATATGTGTTTCAATACACCTGATGTGAAAGAAGGACGATGTCTAAAAGCGAAAGAATAAGATTAATTCACATGTAGATAACTGGCTCAAAGTGAATATAATGTTACCTTGATCACACTATTTACAAATATGGTGTTGTTAACATTCGATGATCTTTTAAAAAATCTCTCTACAATATTACGAATTGTTTTCTTTTAATTTTAAAATTTATGAAATAAGATTATTAAAACATTGTATCAAAAGACGATGTTTCATATTTCTCAATGCCGCGTGATTTTGAATACACAAGAAAGTTTTTTTTATGAAAATGTATATTCTCTCATATGAAAAACGTTCCTAATTGAACAAAACAAAACAAAATCTTAAATATTTTCAATTAAAAAACAGGAAAGAAAAGAACAATAAAGATCACCATTTTAGATTTAGATTTTTTGAATTTATTTTGAAAAAAAAACACTGAAGTTCTTGAATAATTTCCAGAACAATTTCATGCCTCTACATAACACTTCATAGTCACGAATGGCATATGTTATTGATGAATGATTGATTTTATTTCAATATGTAAATTAATTACAATAAATTAAACATGAGTCCATTGGAACTTCAACTTTAAGTAATGACGATTCAATACATTTACTTAAATTTTCAAATCTATTGTTTTGGGTTTTAATTTTCCAAGAATCGATATTTTTTTTACGTTGAGCGTCGATAATATATTAAAAGAAGCGTCTTTCACAGTGTACAGACAAGGAGGCTAACCGTTCATTTTATATATTGTGACATTTTTTAGATTGTATTGCACGAAATCTAAACTTTAATTAGAAAATTCTATAGTGCTTAAGTATCTAAATATTACTGCAATATTTTCATCATGGGTTCAAAATGTTCGACGCTTCAAATAGGAGGTAAAGTTCATATATCGGGTAATGGTAACTCACCTTTAATAATCAATGGTATCACTTACAATATATCAAGTTTATTTAATACGGTGGCCAGTATGACCATGCGACGATATCGATCTGAACTAATATTGGTTCAGTTCATCTCTTTTTTCTTTGTTTTAATATCGGTATTGTTGGCTATTCGATTTCTGATCTCTCGATTTCCTGTAGACAAGGGTAAGAAAATAAAATAAGAAAATATAAGTTCAACTTCTATCACAACTTTAGGGTTTCTACCTACTCAACGAAAAGTTAGCAGATCTTACCAAAACTACTTTGAGCCAATAATAATAATTGATGTACATTTTTGTTTAGCATGAAATTCAACACAATACGGATATTTTGGAATATCAAAAACATTTTGAGGAGGTATTTTTATAATAATAATAATAAATGTTGAATAACTTCTATGCTACCTGCAGTTCGACAGAGCTTTAAGAGAAGTTACGAACGTATTGCCAAAACAAATTACGAATGGCTATATCTTGCACAACCCTTGGAATACATTCAGCATATCTATAATCTATTTCAAGCGTCACTACATCTAGTTTCCCTTTTAATATCTAAGATGATTGATAACAACTATGCTAGTCAGTAATAAAAGTGATCTTTGAATTTTCACTAATATTATAATAGGTCTATGTGTCTCTATTCTAAAATTGAATATTGGTGATCCTCACCAATACTCTGAAACTTGGCAATACATAAATTGTATGCTAAATGGCCTCTGCTGTTATACAGCAGTCTCCGCAACACAATGTAGCGTAAGTTGATAATAAGAATGAATGAAATATTTGTTCGCTCGAACCAATACTTTTACATTATTATTTTTGACTGTGTAGGCTGTTGTTAACGCTGAAATGATTCCTGTATTGATTTCAGCACTATCTCAAAAGTCTTACCTGGAAGATTTAGATAGAAACACGGTATCTCGATCTAATAACAACAACAGAGAATCTTCTTTTTTTTACATCTAGCCAGTGATGCTTCTATTCCAATTGGGCTCCAGAATGTTTCATAATATAGCAGAAGTAGAGATGCTCAAACATAATTTGGACAAATATAACTGTTTCGAGGTCTGTGTTCATTATTCAAATAAATCTTATTTGATTTTACTGTTCTGTGGAATTTTAGATTTTGCGTAACGTGATTTCTAATACAAATAACAGATTACTACGCGCTATCAACCTTTTAACAGTTGCTCGAATTTTAAAAGATGGAACATATAAAGTTACATTCACAATTGATGACAGTGATACAAAAAAATGGCGTCACTTATGACGGCTAACAACATATTTTTCTATGCATTTAGGTTCAATGCTATTTCGCCTCTACTACGAGTCAATTAAGTTCAAGGAACACGCAGCACACGGACTCAAGAAAGAGCACATTTTAAACGGATTTTATGCCATCGGTCGACTTCATTGTCTTTATCATGATTATTAAAACTTGAATAATTTTAATATTTATAGTGACGACAACTTTCAGTATTAATATTCTAATAAAAAACAAATAGATATTGTTATCATTAATATCATGCATATAATCATATCCAAATGTTGAATTTATTTACTTTCCTTCAAAACTAGTGCTTGTTATAATGTTTTATTTATATGTTCATGATTATTAACTTTTTAATGAACTCATGAGTATGAAATAGATTGCACCAACTGTGCCGATATCGATGGCACGCTTCGATGATTCTCCTTCCTCTTCCTTCTATTCTCTTTCCATTATTATAATATATCTCTCTCCTATATATACGTGTGTTATGTATGAAGTTGTTACACTCTGGATATGTGAATAAACGAATAAACATCATTGCCGTGAGTGGCTGTAAGCTACTCCATCTCTATCCAGTTTGTCATTACGATATAAACTCAACAGAGTCTTATTTATCGTTACACCAACATCATTTTCTCAATAACTATTATACTTGGTTTCATTTCTAACGCGTGACATAGTATATTGATATGTGTTTCAGATAAATTTATAAAAAACTTGAGATCATAAAGAGTTATGCATGCATTGATGGAATCGACGAAAATCAACTAAAGAAACATTAACTATTAGTAATACATAGTAGATGAATATAAAGAATCCATTCAAAATAAAAAATATTCAATTTAGTGTACTGGAAAGTTGTTCGACGGTATACTTTTGCTACTTAATTTCTTTAAAAATAATAAAAATTCCCAAAAAAGACTGATTTTACACTTGAAATCAAAAATAAAATACACAACATCATGAGCGCAATGAATTTCAATATTAACGGTTGAATGGGAATTTTACTTGGAATGTAAAGATTCAATCTAACATTCAGCCTTGTGATATACATTTTTTTCTTTTAATAAATTATATCAAATATGAAAAAAACACCTAAAATATGTAAATAATTTTCTTGCTTGTCACTGTTTCTAGAAAATTTTCACATATTGATATCGCAGCACATTTTATTAATTCTACTTCTACTGAAAATGAACCATCAAGGTACGTATGGTGCTTCAATATAGACCATCTAAACTTTATTAAATACTTGTAGAAACTTCATCAATAATGACCCTGAAATCGGATGAATTCTTTGATGATTATGATACTTCAGTAAGTTTCATAAAGCGTTGAAATTAAGCTCTTAATATAATATTATTGATAGTGTCACCCAGTACAGTCCTTCAATGTCTCAGCAACTGACATACTGGCTAATGACATGAAACGTCAATTCTGTCAGCTTAGTTTAAACGAAAATGAATCAGATAAAACGAATCTTTTATTTCACCAAGATATTCATCATTATCAAAACATTTTTCAAAATATAATGTGTAAATGCGTGTCTACTGCATCTGGTAATCAAGCTCCATATCATTTGTGCTTGCCACCAAACTTGATTTTTAACAATGATACTGATCTTGCTCGATACTTTGTTATACTTAATTATTTAAAAGATTTCAACATGTGTGCGTCATCGATCAGACTCAATGAAAATCAAATGGTACAACAAGCAGCAACTGACACATTAATGGACATGGATATGGGCGAGTGCTGGAAAGTCTATGACTCTGAGGGACACTGCTTTTGTTGTTAGTTTCTCAGACCTGCAAGTTGCATGGAAGTTTCTAACATTGCATTAATATATATATAAATAATAAAACAAATATGTTTACTATCCAGAAGGTTTACATAAAAATTCTGAATATTTTTACAATCAGGCTCTAATAAAATATCTATAATCTATTTCTGTACCATTATGGCTTATTGAAGAAAATATGGATAAATAGTTGTATACATGAAACTTTTTCATCCGAGTCTTCAAATCAAGAGTTTCTTTAAAGAATGCTATATTTGAGTTCAGCCATTACTAATACAAAAAAAAATAGAATTACTAGTTATCTCCTCCTATGATAGCTCAAAGATACACTGAATATGGACTAGTCATTGTTGGATCCGAAATAGCTCATTCGTTAGAAAAACAAAAGTCTAGTCAAAACCAGTTGTTAATAAAATAACAAAATGTTCAAGATAAATCTCAAAGAATATTAACCACTTCACTTAGACTAATACACATTCAACATGTATAAATTAAGTACTAAGTTCAACTCTCTTCAGCGTCTATCACAAATCATATGAGCTAAGTCACCCTTTCCTCCACAGAATTAAATCGAGCAATAATCTAAAATAAAACATATTCGATACTCCTACAACTATCACAAGACTTTAAAGGAAATATTCATGTCTTGATAGATCAAAGTATAACACTTTCATACGAAATATCTATAAGTATGAGTGAGACTTTGTTTCCATTTTTCATCCATACTCCATTTTCTTTTTTCAGTTTCTTATTTGAATTAGTTATTATTTTTATATTTTCTGTTTCAGATATACTAATACCAGAATGAATATGCAACAAAAAAGAATTGCAAAATTTAAAATATTTACCCAAATTTGAACCGATGGCATCAATAAAAATCTACTATGTTAATCGAAAGACAGCATGGGATACAATAACAAAGCTAATTAAACTTGCAAAAGAAACGAATAGATTTGTGATGGAAATAAAATATGGCTATAAGGATACATACCCAGCATTAATTCATATTTTATTTCCGTACAAAATGCAATTCTTTGTTGCTTTTGTTGAAACTAAACATTTGCCATGACTTGACTTGTGTTTACATGCAAAAATAGAATCATTGTTTTCAGTAATCCTATCGCCTTCTAACGTCATTCAATCGTGGAACGACATAAAAATGGATCTTAAGCTCTTTTTGGATCATGCTTTATTTAAATCTCATCAAATTGATCGAATTCGGGTAGTTAGTATTCAACAGAAATCTCGACAATGGCTTCAGAAAACGCTTGGTAGTGTTGAACTAAAACATGCTTTGTTCGATCATTGGACATTACAGACGGCAATGGCTTTTATCTTTCAAGAATATCTAGATACAACTCTTTCAAAAAGTCACGATTGGGACATAGGACTTTATTTAGAGTTCGATCCAGGGTACGTCGAAGAATTGATTCATAGGGATACATTCGTCTGTAATCTACAAGCTGGACATTATTTTCGATCGATTCATAGTGAGTATGCTGTTCATGAGTGTATGGCTACCAATAAACTAGCTGCTCTTTTTCTGAATGAATGGACTGTACGCTTTAAAAAAAAAGTAGAATAATAAACGCTAAAAGGGTTTATTAAAGTGCAACGTACCACAAACCCTTTTTAGCGTACATGAAACATTCCTAAACCCCTCAAAAGGGTTTAGGATAGGGTTTAGGAGAATAATAAACCGTTTGAAAAACCCTTCCAAAGGGTTTAGGAAAGTAATAAACCCTATCCTAAACCCTTTAGGAGGGTATATGAAAGGGTATATTGATTTCCTAAGCCCTTTCATATACCCTTGCAAGGGTTTAGGAAAGGGTTTAGGAAAGCAATAAACCGTTTAAGGGTTTGTGATACGTTGCACTTTAATAAACCCTATAAGGGTTTAGGAAAACGATAAACCCTTTCATATACCCTTGCGAAGGGTTTATGAAAACGATGAATCTTTTCAGACACTCTTACAAAGGGTTTAGGATTATCAACAAGGTGCGTAGGGGTTAAGGCAAGGGTTTAGGAAATATCCGTCAACCCATACAAGGGTTTAGGAAGCATCCATGAACCCATAGATGGGTTTAGGAAGTATCCAGGAACCCACCGAAGGGTTTAGAAAACGATGAAAGAAACTAACAAGGCAGTAACTGATTCTTAGGTTCACTACTTTAGCCTGTACCGTGGTCACGTCATATTACCACAAAAACTCGGTAAAAAACTGTGTATGACGTCAAAATTGTTCGTGTTCTTCTAAACACACATGCAGTAAACACGTTACAGGTTAAAACAGAACGCCTGGAAGACCAACTCCCTTGTTACACTTCGATTCACACTTGAGATGGATCTATAATGAAAAATAAAGTCACCAAAATAAATAGTATGAATATTTTATGTACAACAATGTATTAAAAGACATGAGGAATATGTAATTACAAAAGTTATACTTACTATTAATGATGCTACGGTTGCCAACTATCCAAACAACAAAAAAAGACTATAAAATCAGCCATACTTACTTTTCACTTTCGCCATTATGATTCGTCTAGAAGAATACTACTAGGCGTATCAATAATATTTGTAACATTTTCAGTTTCACGTTGAACAACATAACCAATGAAAATATTGATACAAATAAATCATACTTGCATTTGACGTATTGTCATAATTACTGGAAACAATATCAAAGCCAAATATACGAATGATGTTTTCATCACGTCCAACGTCGTTGTTAAGGTCCTGATATCACGTTGATATGTATTGGTACAATTTTCTTAACTTCTTGCTTTTATTTTCAATCTTCGAAAATCACACGCACGCTCTTTTTTCACTTCACTTATCTCTCTCGCTGTTCCTGACTNAACGCGGGGGGTGGGTGCAAAATTTCTACCCTAAACACTTCAACACTCCTTTCAGGTCGTGTTTCACAAAATCTATTATATTAATCGAACGACAACATGGAATACAATAACAAAACTAATTAAACTTGCAAAAGAAACGAATAGATTTGTGATGGAAATAAAATATGGCTATAAGGACGCATACCCAGCATTAATTCAAATTTTATTTCCGTACAAAATGCAATTCTTTGTTGTTTTTGTTGAAACTAAACATTTGCCATGGCTTGACTTGTGTTTACATGCAAAAATAGAATCATTGTTTTCAGTGATCCTATCGCCTTCTAACGTAATTCAATCGTGGAACGACATAAAAATGGATCTTAAGCTATTTTTGCATCATGCTTTATTTAAATCTCATCAAATTGATCGAATTCATGTAGTTAGTATTCAACAGAAATCTCGAGAATGGCTTCAGAAAACGCTTGGTAGTGTTGAACTAAAACATGATTTGTTCGATCATTGGACATTACAGACGGCAATTGCTTTTATATTTCAAGAATATCTAGATACAGCTCTTTCAAAAAGTCACGATTGGGACATAGGACTTTATTTAGAGTTCGATCCAGGCTACGTCGAAGAATTGATTCATAGGGATACATTCGTCTGTAATCTGCAAGCAGGACATTATTATCGATCGATTCAAAGTGAGTATGCTGTTCATGAGTGTATGGCTACCAATAAACTAGCTGCTCTTTTTCTGAATGAATGGACTGTAGAGCAAGCTGGAAAGTACTTGAAGAAATATTCTAATGATTTTTAGGTGAATATAAGATTTTTATTTTAACATGTGGCTCAAACTTACCCTTTCTTCTTTCTTATTTAGAATCACATTCAATTTATACAATATCCATTTAATTAATGAACCGTCTAAAACGATAAGATGCATCAACAGGCTCAAACAAAGAGTTTTTCAATATTCTCGCTTTTTTTTTGAATGAGTATTTCTTTTCACTTAAATATAACAAAATAATCGTTTCTATTTGTACTTAAAGTGTAAAATAATATAAATAAAATTGAAATCATTTTCAGGCTACATTTGCTTGAAAACGAATGAGAATAAAAGTTATGCTTCTGTGAGTTTGATATTCTCAATATGAAAGATTGAAATATTGGATTTATAATTATGTTCATACCTGACAAAGCAAAAATTTGAATGTTTATCCTATGAATCATATAATAATAATTTTTCGCTGGAACGATACTGTTCTATAACTTCAATTTATTCAGACTAAAAAAATGTCACTTCTTTATTTTATGCAATGACTTTTAAACTATTCTTTTCTTATTTGGACACTGATAATTACACATCTCCTTTCGTTATTTGGCTGAAATTGCCCGAAACGAGTCGGCAATTTGAGTTAATTCATGGCATTCAACTCAATTTGCAGTCGCTTAATATTCAATACTTACTCTTTCTAGCGACGAAGAATCAAGTAAGTGTTCTCTTTTTGAACAATATAACATAAGATGTTCTACACGAAGAGCTACTTACAACATATATCGATCTAAAGTTACTTTATAATTGCGTTGTTCTTAAAAGAGCAAGTTTTTATCAAAACGGTTTGTTTTTTGCTGGATTCAGTCTGTGTGTTTTAGCGTAGTGATGTTCACTTCTCATGAATCGTTGCATTGTTAGAAAATACAAACTGAGCATACAAAATATTCACTAATTCGGTACTATACTTCTCATGGAAACCAACTAAATTTTCTGTGATTCATCTAAATAAATTCCATTGAAACAATACCAGCCGATCATATAGAAAAGTTGACGTGGTGGGCAAACTATTTCCCCGAGGACTTTGACTTCAATATACTTATATTGCTTTCACTCCGGAAACGTATTTACAACCGTATAACTGGGTTCAAAACTCCGCATATCATGCAACTTTTTATCATATATCTAACGTGGTCATCGTATTCTTTCAGTAGAGGGTTAGCGACGCTTACGTCGCGTTACTTGTTCTTGTCTGCGTGCACAGACAAACGTGATCGTAAAGTAGATCTCTATTCTCTATTGACTAAACTGATGATAAGTGGAATTTAGAGCAAGAAACACATTGTAGTTCACGGAGATCTGCTGACATTTACACGAAAATGTTGATGGATGTGCTGCTAGCAACTGTTCGAAAGTAACAACCGTGGGTGATGACACAGTGACAGATACAACCACTTGATTTAGACCATTGAAAAGAGAAAGTACGAATACACTCGTAGTCAGCAGCACGAAGTAAAAGCGAGTCGACACAATAGCTATCTGTTCGGCATTCGACATTCTAGTAATGACGAGCTCTTTCTTGAAGAAATTTATTGTGCTGAACCTTTGTTGGATATAAGTGTATTGGGAAATGACACGATGTGGCCAGGCTAAATGATAAAAACCCATACACATGATTGTATATCCAAGTAATGATGACACTTGTCACACATTTTGCAATGTCTCAAAATGCGAAAAACAAGAAAGTTCATCTCTAATCCACTCTCGACATTGTGGAACGTTTGATTTAGTGCGTTTAATTGATTCTTTTTTATTATCCAATTGAATAATGAATAGGCCAGTAGCAGTTCGTGAATCGAGTACTAGACTAATGATTGAACAAGAGTTGCATGTGTTTTATTTAATAATTTTAAAGTGACATTTTTAGGGTTCGTAATGCTATTGTAAGTTAACAGGTGAACACTACTAGTCATGAAAAGTTTGCCCGAAATTTGGATAGTATGCATTTCATGCAACATATTACGAATGATAATTTCAATAAGATTATTTGTTACTAGTACAATTCGTCGCAAGACAATTCGTCGCACGCCAATTCGTTTCGATCAGTTCGTCGCATATATAGGGGAGGATACATTAATTGAATTAAGATATTTAGTGTAGAGTGTTATTTAATTACTCACTGACAAATGTTTTTCTTTAGCGAATAATTGCTCTTTCTTAATAATACTTTTTTTAACAATAGAGATCTGAATTTAGAGTTTTTCTTTTAAATTAAATTAACTAGAATTAAAATTACTAAAGCTCAATGGAATTGAATTAAAAATAAATTCATTTTTTTCTAGTATAAAAATTAAAATTATATAGAAATAATGTTTTTTATTCAATAATTCGTAATGATGCAAATTAGCTATTGTTATTTGGAAAAAATATGACATAAGCAGTAACACAAGAAAAATAAGAAAATCTAATATTTGAATTACACATGTATTGATAAAAATCGAAATTCTTCAACAAATCATACATGATTCCTGATAATCGACAACACTTATTTCTTAACAAAATTTGTAGAAAATAATAAAAAAAAAGATTTGAAATACTCTCAATAAAGTCTAAACCAACCTTGATCGTCTTTTCTTAAAATTCTTTCCAAGTTAAATTTCAACAATTTTAACTTTAATTTTAAATTCTAATTCTAATAAGGGTTCTAAACTTTATTCCTCCATCCAATAATTCTTTTAAATTTCAATCTTTGGAGCATAAACGTGAAGCCTATTTTTAAAATGTTTGAACCACTTTATCCACTAACCAAGCATCTTTACGTATCACAGAAAACTGTCCCAAATAGTACTGAACGAATTATATACTTAAGAAAAAAGTGAAATTTGCTTTCATTGATTTCTTTTCGTGAAACACGACCTGAAAGGAGTGTTGAAGTGTTTAGGGTAGAAATTTTGCGGGGGGGGGGGGGGGGGGGGGGGGGGGGGGGGGGGGGGGGGGGGGGGGGGGGGGGGGGGGGGGGGGGGGGGGNACTTACCTGTCGGTGACGGTCTGTGATGGGTAACCTACCTGTCGGTAACGATCTGTGATTGGGTAACCTACCTGTCGGTAACGATATGTGATGGGTAAATATTTCTCATAGCAGATCATTACAGTGAGGTGATTTACTCATCACAGATCGTTACAGACAGGTGATTTATCCATCACAGAGCGTTCAAAGGTGCTTTGTCGAAGTCGAACGGAAAGCAATATTGAGGTGTTAAGGGTACACAGTTGGATTACTTCAAAATATATTTTAATTGATGAACAAGCTAATTACGGTATAATTAGTTAATTACCGATAATGATCCTAACAGATATGCATTGGAACCATCATAAACGGGTTATGAAATTCAGTGTGGATAGAGCGGAGCACTTATGATATAGTTTGATAGATAGTAGTGAACGTCTTCGTACCGTCAAGGAATACATAATACTAGAATATCAGGAAATTTATGACCTACTTGCATTTTTCATTTGTAGGTGGTGCATTAAAGTGTAATGAAAGAAAAAGTTCAGAAATATATAGAGTAATTTGTTTTTCTGGTCAGAATTAACACTTACATCGTGTTTCACATTTTAATCCCGAAGGGATTGCGCTAACAGCTTTTTAGGTGAGGGATTCATTAGAATTTATCCCCTTAAAGGATTGGAATCCTATTTATCATCAGATTCTTTGTATTTTAAGAGAAAATTCTTTAAATCTTTTCAGAAGTAAATTATTTCTTCTTTCGAAGCGCATGTTCTATTCCTCATGTACATCTAATAATTCAATGACAACGTATACAATTTACATGATTAATTAGATAGCATTCTGCACTAAATATCTTAATTCAATTAATGTATCCTCTCCTATATGAGTGAATTGCGCTGGCATTGAACGATTGCGTTTCCAACACTAAAATGCTTATATCTCAGCTTCTCCTCAACCAATTTTAATAATTTTTTTTTAATCGTTCGTTGTCGCTTAGTCCACTTGTCATGAGAAAAGCAGGTTTTCACATTGCCGTCGCTCGAAAATTCTCTAACGCGGAATGATCAAACAGCTGTTGTTTAGCGACGTCTGCCGGTAAAAATAGCTATTTTTGAACATGAAATTTGGTTGGATGATGACACTTTTTGGCAACAGTTTTGTAGCTGAGACTTTCCTCTTGTCAATCATATAATAATATACTAACATGAACTTTGGTTTGTCGACTAAATTTTGGAAAAACTGGTCAAATATACACATTGGCTGTTTTCTGTCCCGACAGATTAAATTGACGCTATCAACCCTAATTGAAAAGCAAACTTTAATTTTTTTGTTGTATTTTATGCAGAAAAGATTCAGAAATTTTTTAATAAATGTTTCGTCTGTTTAACAACTTCTTGTCTAGATAAAAGATGGAAAACAAGTGGCCAGAGTAGCTATTGTCACACTAAATGTCCCGACAGATTTTCGATTTTGTTTTTATGATTTCTCAATAATGACAAGAGATAAATCAATGATTTTTTTCTACATTTTTGGCAAAATATGTGATTGAGCTGCGATAAAAATTTCAGCTCGAAAAACCCTACCGTTGTGGAGAAAATAAGATTTGATTCACCAAATGTCCCGACAGATTTTTAATACTGATTATTCAAAGAAAAAATCAACTAATTTCATCTTCTTTCAAATTCAATGAGTGTTTTACCGCTCAAAGATATCACAAAGTGGTTATTGATATTCTGTTACAGTAAATGGTAAAAATATCAGTCTTCTTTCTAGTTTACTATCAGGGAATAAGTCTGTATTGTTTACAACAATTTTAATTATTCTTACTATTCGCAGATGAGCAGTCTTTAGCAACTCGCTACCCAAAATACTTTCCTTTTTTTCTATTTTTGTGTCAGATTAATCTGTAGAAAATGAAATTAAAAAAAAAGAAGAAAACTAATGCTGCATGTTGTCAAAAATATCGTCAAAAAATCAAATTAAAACGATTACAAAGTAAGCATTTTGACAAAACAATTAGAAAAAAAGAGTCAACAAGAAAAGCAATGTATCGTACAAAAATAAAACAACGACAACAACAAGAACAATCAATACTATCAACATCAACTATCACGATATCCAGAAATAATCTTCGAAAAATTGAAGGTCGTCAACGTCGTCGCCAAAATGCTTCAAAATTAAAGTCAGATGAAGAGAAGTTACAAGATTCAAATAAAAAATTAGAAAATGAAAACAGGAGATTGAAAGCACAACTTGCCTCTTTATTAATATCATCATCATCAACACCACCAGAAGCAACTACCGGCACAAGAACAACCACATCATCATCAAATTTTCTTTTTAATAACCTCAGTCCAGGTGCTAAAAAACGTGCTGCAGCACGTATGAGAAGAGAAAAGCAAAATTTAGCACGTGGTACTATGGAACGTGTTCATAATGAATTTGGTATTAATGTATGTTATTGGTTATTTTTAACATCTTGTATGCTTGATTTATTTATTCTTTAGTTATCTAACAACAATTTAGCATCAACGGGAACAGTATCAACTTCGAAAGAACTTGCTAGTGCTATTGAACAGTTTATTATTAATGATGAAATCACACGATTAACACCAGATAAAAAACAAATTATTGATGGCCAACAAGTACGTTTGTTATTAAACCATTTGATTAATCTTCATCAAAGATTTATTCACGAAACACGCTATGACTGTTCTTTTTCTACTTTTACAAGACATGTCCCATCCTATATTGTTTCACCTAAACCACATGAATGGGGTACATGTTTATGCATGAGTTATTTAAATCCACAAATAAAATCTGAAAGAATTAATCAACTGAAAAATTCTCATCCTATTTTAAATAATTTATCAACATTATTAAATGATGATATAACATCAGTAACGAATGATAAAAATAAGGTGGAAGAAATTTTGAAAGAATTAGATTCATTAAAAAATGCATCATTTACAATAACCTATACGGAATGGATTAAAAAAAAGAGTGAAAAAGGTAGTGGTTTTAGGCACTAGCACATATCGTCGCACGACACTTCGTCGCGTTCGCTTCGTCGCAATCATTTCGTCGCATGATCACTTCGTCGCAGAAAAATTCTATTCGTTCTGTTGTCCCTATCTATTTGTCGCTTCTCTCTTAATGAATTATTTTTTTTGTGTATAACCAATGGAAATAACATAAATTAAATGAAAAGTTGCAAGATATGTGTTCAAAAGCGATAGACAAATAATTGTGCTAAAACATATCATTTTAATTTGGTAAAAGGATCAATAAAAAAATAATATTCTCATTTAATTGTGATACTAAAGCTAATGAAGACTAATCAGATTTCTCGCTAGCTTCATGAATTTTAGTGTAATCTAAACTAAAAAAAACACTGATCCAACATTCTTAACTATGGAACCATGTCAAATAAAAAAAAATACATTTTACTTCTCAATTTCAACTTTCATTGCGTACTACGTTTCAAGCAAAATGTCTCAAATAGAAAAACTGTTTTTTATAAAAGAAGAAGCAATGATGCTCCAAGAAGGTTACATCTATACTAAAAAACGTACAATAACGACGAAATTTATTCTTCGATCTCAGAATCGAGATTGTAAAGCTAAGATCCTTTTGAACATCAATCAATTAATTGAAATAAAAATCATTTATCAATGAAGCTCGTTGTTATGTTAATTTATCCTTGAACACATTTCTCTCAGCATCAATACCGCACTCTCATGCTCCGAAACCCGGTCGTTTTCCTATTATCTAATTAAAAAATGACATTAAAATTCGACTGGTCAACTCCCTTGACTCATCTCAACTAAATCAATTCTTAAAAACTATAGCAGTCAACATAACTCTTTAGATGATTTTATTTTGTTTATATTATTTTTTTTAATCTATTCCTCATGATGTTGTGTGTGTAGTACGCACAAAATACACAGAAATTAATTTATGTTATTTCCATTGGTTATACACAAAAAAAATAATTCATTAAGAGAGAAGCGACAAATAGATAGGGACAACAGAAAGAAAAGAATTTTTCTGCGACGAAAGGTCATGCGACGAAATGTTCTGCGACGAAGTGATCATGCGACGAAATGATTGCGACGAAGTGAACGCGACGAAATGTCGTGCGACGATATGTGTGGTCACCTGGTTTTAATTCAACCAAAACAGTTTTAACTGATACAATTAATATTTTCTGTACAAAATTTTCTAAAGAAATATTAGTGAGTGTTCTAGAAGAAAAGTTGAATAAAAAAAAGAATTAATTGTTGCTATTTATTTGATTTTTAGAGCCTTCAAGAACATATGGAAATGGTACATGCTCAATTCAAAGGTGCAAAACTTCTTCGTCAAGAAGCATTAAGCTGCGATAATATAATAACTTTACAGATTGATTGAGCAGAAAACTATCATTTACAACAAGCACGACAAGAACGTTGTGAGCAGCCATGAAAATTCAGGCTTAATGCTAATAAAAACAACCTGAATTTTTTCTATATTTAGCGCTTATTATTATGAACAACAGGTGTCTATATCAGCTGGATATGTTTTGAAAAAGAATAATTGTTTTAGTTTCGATTGTTTATCAGATGAAACGCGTCATATGGCAGAATATACATGGGTAGCTATTCGTGATTTACAGGATGAACTTCTTGATGGGACAAGAGATGGAAAAGTCTCTGAATTAAATTTTATATCTGATTTGCCATCTAGTCAATATAGAAATAAAACAACTATATATTTATTAAAACATTATGCAACAATTAGGAAAATTACAATAAGGTGGTTGTTTCTAGGTAGTGGTCATGGTAAAGGTATTTCTGATACTATTGGTTCTTCAATCAAGCGTTTATTCGACGATGCAATTAGATTAAATCCTGATGAATCATTTAATGCTGCTGAAGAATTAATGAATAAAATAAAAGGTTCAACAAATATTCGACTATATTTATATAAAAAAGAAGATGTTGATTCTTTTCTGCAACAAATTCCATCATTAACAACAGTTAAAGGAACATCTATGTTCCACGAACTTATTGCTAAACCTAATGGACAAATTTTTGCAAAAAATAAATCGGATGAACAAGAGACTTTATTACAAACAAAATTTTAGATATTGAATTATTTGTTAGTGATAATCAGCAAATGAACTCATGTTTTCTTTCAAGTAAATAACTTTTTGACATCAAAATTTAACAATATTCAGATGAATTACTTTTTCATTATGGACTTTGTCTTTTTTTCGAAATAAATAGTGATATTATTGATGGTTCTGATTCTAGATGTCATTATAAGGAACGTTGAAAACAACTCGCGCATCAGTGGCAAAGTGAATTTTTCGAACAGTGAGTACTATGACTCCTAACAACCGATTATATTACGTCACATTTATACGTACATACATAGATAGAGCTCAGCACATTCTTCTCAGTCTCATTTTCAAAATAATTTCATTGATATACAACAAAAATGTAAAAATATTTCTCTTGATATATTATTTTGCAGAAAAATTTGAACCAGCCTCGAACGAGAAAACTTACAGTTGGGAAAATACATGATTTATGCACAAAAAATGAAGCTCTATCTGATAGACTGGTTGAAATCTCTCCACATTCACTTTTATTTTTTTCGATTTTTTTCTTCAAATCGTACAATGCCAGCGCAATTCACTCATATATGCGACGAACTGATCGCAACGAATTGTCGTGCGATGAATTGATCATGCGACGAATTGATTGCGACGAATTGATCGCGACGAATTGAGCGGTCACCCTTTTCCATTCAAGATAGGATTGAATCGAACATCAATTCTCAAGTATGATTATTGTAATTATATTAAACAACGTGAATTAATCTATTTTTTCTTTCTTAAGTCAAGCTCATTCTCGTAATTCTCTGGTGTTATTCTCTTAAGTTATACTGAAAAACTGTAATTGAATGGCTTTCTTTATTTTAGATTGAATTTATCATCATAAGTCGAAGCTATGATTAATTTGATAACGTCAAACAGCATGCATAAATCTAGTTTTTCTATCTCTTTACTTTATTTTGTCACGATAATTTTCAGATATGATTATAATGATTAAAGCAAGAACATGAACTAATTTTTACTTTTTCTATCTCAGATCATAATCCTGATTATGCCGTTGCTGTATGATATCGTTGATAAACTCGACGATTACGGGCTTATCAATTCTTATTATCTTTCGTGAATGGATCCGGGAAGCCTCTGTGTCAATATGTTTTTTTTTTAATTGGCATGATAGAAATTCAGTGCTGCATATATCAGGGGGGGGGGGG